ATTCATGCAAACAACATGAGTGGTTAGTCACAATAACTTTGCATTGTATTCATTTTAAAGGGAAACTCAGTATATAGGTGTTGAAGGAATAAGCCTAAATTCCTTCCGCTTTCACAACATAAAACCGAATCGTAAGCGGTATATAAGTTTCTAGTACAAAAACTAACATAAACGCATTGCATAGCTGTTTCGCCAGATGAGTGGACGCGTCTGCAGTGTGTGCACAATTGCGCAACAGTCGAGAAATGATCCACAAACTTCCGGTCCGGGATTTGAGACCTATACCCTTGAGCTAGCTGTACGGTCGATGACCGGCGGTTTGAGCAAATGCATACACGCATGCTCGAATCACATCGAAGTTCCATACGATGCCATCATCCCATCGCCTTATAATTGCTTGTAACATGAGATTAACCGATTAAACAACTTGAAAAAGGCCTTCCAAGAGGATCGAAACGTTGTCACTAACGCCTTGGTATTTTGGTTTTCATTCGTTGTGGCTGAGACAAGCTAATTTCCTCAATAATCATGAGCACGACGCCCAAGTTTTTCAATGAGATCCGTTCCATCTATGGATCTCGTGTGAAAAATCAGCTTGTTATCGTAGTCGCAATGGGCAGTTTCGACGTGAATGTTTACACATTGATCGCAAAACTGTTGCTATTCATTTGCTGAGGGTTAGTATTTAGCTGAAGTCTTAGGTGAAGACACGTTTGGCACATCATCAGGAGAAGTTCAGGGACCTCTTTAAACTGCTTTTACATGCTAATTCTGGCCAAGCCTGGTCCATTTTATATTTCTTATGTTGAAGACAACGTTGATCTTCTTGAGTCTGACGCTTATGCATAAGTAACTATAATCGACGGAATAACCCTTGCATATGGCTAATGTGAGTGGCTTGAACAACAGCGATTGTACCTACCCTTATTGGTCCGCGATTGAGGAGAGCTGGGCAGTGATTTCTCATCCGACCGATTTGGGCCACTGATGGCTCAACCAAATTATCACAGGAGCAATTCAAATGGTGAACAGTTGCCATCCTGCTCTCTTTGCGTTTATTTCCAGTGTACATCTTAAGTTTGTGAGAACCAACTATCGGCACGAAAACTGCTCGTACCACCTCCGACCCTACTAGGGTAATGTGTCCTTACCTAACTGTCCAGTTGAAAATTCACAAACTCCGCAAATAAATAACAACAGATGTACGATCCTTGTTTGGACATTCACGTCTCAGCTCTCCTCCATCTCTCCCAGCAGTGCGACTACAATAGTAATCGGAATTCCTGTCCCCATATATAGTGTTCCTTGATCTATATACGGGTATTGATCAAACACGTGCAACACCCTGACCATAATTTAACTTGACTGTATTTACACACACTTTGGTTGACCACCCTTCGTACAAACACTGTGAACTCTTCCAACATATCTAATAGATTTTTGGAGGTAAGATAGCATTCGAATGCTTCTTCCAATGATATGCCAATGAGCGACTTCGGAATAGCAAATTGGGATGAAACTTTACAGTCAGAGTAGGGTGGTGGTGTCGCTGTGGTTTAGTCACTGTCACCGGCGTGCTTTGAACCCTGTGGTCCGAGGTTCGAGTCCCGCCACTGCCAGCCGACTTTGGTGGTAAGCAGCTCTGATGCCGTCAGCTTCAATACCGCGCCTAACCTATCGGGGTCTTGTGTGGTTCGCCACTCCAAATCTCGTGGCTTAGGTTACCGGTTTCCATCACTGAACAACAAGCTCTTTTGACTATGGGGTTCACCTCATCTGCAGTTCATCCCATTTAGTGTGTAATAAAAAAAATAAAAATACGGAACAAAGAAATTGGCGGCCAAAATGTCTTCTGTTGCACCTTGAGACTTGGAAGCACAATCCCCTAGGTCATGAAGCGAATGAGCAACAAATCCAATTAAGGTGATCTGAATTGTTGAGAATAAAACAAAGAAAGCATACAGGAATTGATCATTTAAGAACTGCGCAATTCCATCACCGATTTGTGACACTCCACCGAAAAGAAAACGAAGCAACGATGCAATAAAATATGAAGTTTATCTTCGGATGAATACCGCCATTAACGTTTCCTCGTTCGTAATTGAGTATGTCCAATCGGTGCTTGTTGCACTCAGATTAATTGTATATTTATACCTTTTTACTTAAAAAATTCAAGGCTTAGTGTATTATTATGTTGCCACCCAAATTCCACATGTCGCAATGCTTGTAGTGGAGAAGTCCAAACAACTCATTTCCAAGTTGTGATCCAGAGACACTTACCAGCAGCAACCAACGAGGTATTTCTTGAGTGTGGTCAGCTCGAAAGTGTAGATTTACAGTAATGCACGATAGAAACATTGAAACTGTTATCACTCCCATATTGAAGCAAAAGTATGCGCCTAAACAGGGAAATAAAAAGAACAAACGCGAGAACGGAACAATAACTGAATTTCTCACATCCGAATACTGAGTCAACGCTGTGGTAATCACAGTTTATATTCACACTACTTAAAAAGCAACAAGTAGCCTAAATTTTGAATGCCTAAATATTCATGCCAGTGTCCGACCCTGACCAATTCATAAAAGTAAAATAATCACCGAATGCAAATCATGTCCCAATACTGTAATCTTCAATAAATGCAGTAAAACTGGATGATTTAAAAAAACTAAATGAAGTTGGACTCATTTTTTTTCATAGCGATTTATTAGGGAGGGGCAATCGGTTACAAATGGAGTCGACATGGGGTTCATCGGTTTTCAAATTTACTTTTGGTCAAAACAATACACATGAATGCAATCATCTCGTATAAAGAAAATTGCGAATGGTAAAAATTAGTTTGTTGATGCCAAGTTGTCCACGTGAGGCCGAAATTTTTCAAAATACACTATTAGGAATCACAAATGCGGTACAAACACTAAATTAAGGAAATTGAGATTTATTTTCATCATCGCAAACGAGTGAAACAAAAAGATGATGATCTCAGAATTACCTAAAGCAATAAGTTCAGTGTCATAATACCTGATTCCAAAATGAACCAGACCGTTTTCAACTAGCGAATGGATTGAGGTGCAATTCCCCGAATCCAATGTAGTCGGTTTCATTCTCTGATCCCCTCCGCTTATTCCTTTATTCTTTATGCGTGCAACCCAATTGGTTGTACTCTTATCCATATAATTATCATATTACGGTAACGAAGAGAGAAGTATCTGGCTATCACCATTAAGTCCTACATGGATTTCAGTAGTCAACCTGAGAGTTATATTCAGTAATGTAATTTATGGTAACATGTATATCAATTTGGATTAGGCCTTGATATTTAGGTGAGATACTGATTATTGTCTCTCTGGAAGTACCATCATTCACCATAGCCTCAAAAGTGTCTTTCACATATTCTGTCACATTTAGTTCCAATGAATTAGTGCCGTTCCAAGGAATTTCTGCTGCAATAAAATTCACTGTATCTGTGACTGAGGGAACGATTCATGTCAACATTGATGCTGAAGCCCATAGACCGAGATCGAGAACTTAAGGGCCCGTGGCGAGGATGGGAAGAACAGAAGGATCCCAACCCATCAAAATCTTGACATTTGCTCAGTAAGTCATACAAAAGCACTGATTAAAGTGTGAAATATTCGGTGGGATTGTTACACGTGCATGGATGCTGCTTACACTAGGAGCTCGGGCATGTGTTAAATCTGGTGAACCGTACAAAACTGTACAAACTGTACAAAAGCGTAGACGCATACGTGGGTGGGTTCAAACCCTGTCGAGATAACTGGAATGTTCACAATTTAAACATACAACATGAATTTCTCAAACAAAATTGTTTGACGAAACGTCCAGTGATTAGATTATGGAGTTGAAAGATCAGTTCTATCGAACGGTCCTCGTGTAATGGACCCGGTTTGATAGGAAACGTCTGAATGCCAAAGACTTCGTTGGTTTCCCTGGAAACGTGACTGGCGAGTGAGTATATTTATAGGTTTATCGGATTTATTTGAGGCTTTACTGGTTTCACTCAGTGTTGAAAATCTAAAGTATGTAGCGGCCGGATCAAAAAGAATCCACTGGTTCAAACTACAAGGTGAAGATAGGATCATTAAAAGAACAAAGACCGTAAGGACGAGATACAA